CTACATGTGGTTGGAGTAGCCAAAAAACTACTCCCTAATGTATGTGTGGCTAATAGTAGCCAACACAAAAGATAGGTAAGAATGTGGAATAAGAACATATTACGAAACTGGACTAGTTACCGGTTTTAGTAAGGCGCTAGGCGTTTCTGCTTTCGAGTGTTGCTTAAGAAGCAAGCGAAGAATGTTTTTGGCGCTTTGCTATGAACTGGTACTAATTTAAGGTCGAAGTGGATACAAGAATAGTACTGGTCTTCCACTGATAAATTTGAATCACGGAACTTATAGGGAGTTTGATATAATTACTTTTAGTTTCACTTTACATCTTGGCAGCTCTAGGTCCCACGAAGAACTGGAAAAGTCAGACTTATTTAGCAGACGGAAGTGTGAAAGAATTCTTCTGTAGATAACCTGGATTTTTTTTTGCGCTGTTTCCAAATTATCGTTTTTCTAGTCACGCAGTTTTGCGCCATAATGTGTTCATCATCCTCACAATTCACTTCATTTGCTGTGATCAAAAGATACCTTCGATTAAATGAAAATCTTATTTTTGTTTTCAGTGAAATTTTTGGTAAATTTGGGTTCTCTGAGTTTAAGTAATTGCATTGTATTGCAGATTGGCGGTTGATTCACAGGCACGAGGAAGAGGAATTCATGAAATGTGGCACTTCGATGAAACCAATTAATGTGCCAAAATCAATGCCACTTCCTCCTTATTTGGTTAATTTTCAGTATTTTCTCTCTTTGCCGATAAATCTCAGTTTTCTCGGCCCATTCATGCAATTGCCGGTTAGGAGGCAATGATTTTCTTTACTCATTGGCAAGTCGAAATTTTTGCTACTTTTATTTTTCGAAATAAAAAGGATTGGGGATACAAAGGTAATGGTGAGACATTATTGTTTTGTTTTCCTGGTGCTGAGAGACATCCGGCCAAATCCAGAGCCGGAGGTGCTCGTCCAAGTTCCGGTGATAAAGTACCTTTTAGAAAAAAACTCTATATCGCATCAGTCCCGAGGTATTCATTCTAACAAAATTCATGCCGCAAACGAAGTTTTTTGCCCATGTAACCTAACGCTTCTGTGGTATTTTGAAATTCATTTAAGTCAGTTTTAAGTGCATTTGTGCATTGGTGGAGACTGTTTCATCTGGGCAAGAGGGTTAATTATGGCTTCATTTCTGCAACATCAAAAGCCTCGCATTTTGCGGCGACTTCAGTGTTTGTGTTAAAATTTAAAAGTTTTGCAGTAAGAGAATTTAGACCACTATTTACAGCGAGCAGTTTGTGAAAAAGGTGATGTGATAGGTATGGAAGAGAAAAGGATAGACATGGATTTATGCCTGGATCCTCAGTTCGAAATGATCGGACACCTTTTCAAGCAGGTTTGCTCCATTTGAGTTACTGCTGTGCCGATTTTATGCAAATATAATTAATTTCAGTCAGTTTAATCTTGCCCACCCGAAAATGCTAAAACTTAAGCAAAATTCCGTTTGGAAACTTTGTTTTTATAGTCTGGGTTTGCAAACCGAAGAAGTTCCACTCCTAATAAACTACAGTATTCGCTGGTGTTATCTTTGAAAAGTAGACTGCATTTTTTTTAAGTACTTAATACTTTTGAGCAACGGAAGGTGTATATGATGAAGTCAAAAAAAAAATGACCACACGAATTAACTGACCTTCTGTGGAAGTACCTTAAAGCTGGCAATTGCAGGTGGAAACACGTCATGGGAATTCAATTTATGAAGAAACTAGGCCAGAAGTTTGGCTTGATTTATATGGCAATGAAATGCCAACAAAAATAGAAGCATGGACAGTCGGGCCGGCACAACTGAGACACCAGTTTGACAATTCAGTCCCCACTGCGCAGCCGGCGGAACTTGAAAATCTGTCGTTGCCTGAACTAACCTTTGATCCTGCCGAGTGTGACGATGATGCAGCTACGGCAGCTCAGAGCTAAGTCCTCAGGTGAAAAAGCTTGCACCTCATTATTTTTTTTTCTATTTTAAAGTGCGAAATTGTTAAAAAACGAAAACCTTAACGAATTGTTTAGGCAAATAACATTCATTTTTTTTTTTTTTCAAATTTTGACATTTTTAAAAAAAATGATGGTATTAAGAGAATATTTGCCTCGATCAGCTGCCGTCCATTTCAATTCGCCATTGGTGTAGTTGGCAACTTCTCCATTCTTCTTGATTTCCCGCCTTCTTTGTGGACGACTTTCTTGCAAGCCCATTCTTCGTTCTGGAAATTTGTCCTTATCTTTCGCAAGGTAATGATCAGTTTGCGGGAACAGCTGATTTTCGGATGACGGGCACATCTGCATCCAATCTTCTCTTGTCCGTAAGGATTTAGACAACACAGTTTTGGAGCACGTTTTTCAGCGCTTCTCAAGCCCCCACTGTGTCTCATAGCTTTTTTCGAAAACGAATTCACTATATGTATAGCTTTAAGCATTTAGCGAAATTCACGAACCTCTGTTCTTCATTTCTTGTTCGTATTCGAAAGGACACCTATCTACATTCCCGATTTTGGCACTGAAATCCATCACATGTTTTGTGGTCTTCTGCAGTAACGGTGTATCACCTTCACTGGAACATGCAGTATTGTAATCTGTTCGCTAAATTGGGCATACAGATTGTTACAAGCTTTTTTTTATGTCGATTTTGTAACTGTCGAACATCCCAGCTCATGGTGATCATTGTATCGGATGAGGTGATCTTGTTCGTAATCCGGGCCACTATGAATTTGGTACCTCCAGTCCTTTTAACCGCTGCACCCGCTATAAATCTTTGCGCCATATTTCCATTTTTGAGACGATCTGCTCTTTGGATTTCTCGCCATTGTTTGTTAGCTTATCGAAACGGATGTGCACTGAGTTCCTGCAACAGATGATCTGGTCATTTCTGAGTGTTGTAGCGTTGGAAGTACCCCACACTTATAAATACGCAAGCAGTTTATTCATATGTAAAGTTGCTGTAGCTACCACTGCATCACGCTTTAGTCGGCCTGTTGTTAATTCTAACATCCACTGATTTCTTCGGTCCTTTTTTCCTCAGGGACAGGAAAAGTTGGCCTGGGCACAGTCCTGCCTGTAGAGCAAGAACACGCAGTTGTAGTAATCACATAAGTTGTGTAGTTTCCGCTACCTGTACTCGCATGCGTCGAGACGCCCGAGAATTATTTTCTTCTGCACCTTCGGTATTCACTACTACGCTGTATTGATCGGCCAACGAGCGATGCGAGTTGTCTAGCGAAAGTTTTCCTCGTTATGAAAGTGATGTCGGCCCCACTATTTATAATAAATAAGAATGCTTGCGAAAAAAGCATACACACATAAACGAAACCTTGGCGTACGCCTGTACGTCGCATTTCGACATTTCAGAGATGTTTGCAACAAAAAGCTGTTTCGCCAGCCAGTCAAATTAGGAAGCTGAAATTTTATGAGGATGCTGTATGCCCATAGGCAACCCAAATGTTTCCAATTCAGCTGTTTTAAATTATGTCTAAATCTCGCGTACGCACAAGTGAAATTACATCTAACTCAGTTTTAACCAAATTCAGCGGGAAGCAGTATTGTTCTGAGGATGTTTGCTGCTCATATGCGGGCCAATAAACTTAAAATGAACTTCTTAGGCACGGCCGTGGCTTTCAGGCGCATTAATCGTTCAGATTACATGCCGGCAGTTACATCCCGGTCCAGGCGTCAACTCCGCTGGATGGGGCTATGCAAAAATGCATGACAGCACTTGCAACCCTAATACGCGCCACTGTTCATTTTCACTTTGCTTCGATACTTTGGTTATCTGTCTTTTCTTCGTGCTAGGCACATTTATGCACCGATAACGTTTTTGGCAAACTTTCCATGGATGTTGTGCTCGGACTAAAAGTGCTGGTTTGAATTTTAGTGAATGAATCGTGACGCTATGGATATGTCAACGTCGAACTGGTCGCAATGCTGCTGGGCGCTTGTAGATATCGTTGTAAGGCTTTTCTCTGGGGACGACGATCGCTGTTCGCGGGTAAATGCCTGCACATTCGTGGTGGTTGTCGACCGGTCTAGCAATCATTGCTGTATCAACTCGCTGTCGGAGGTTTTCACGCTACATCTTTTGATCGCTGAAGTTAATTCCGAAGGAATTCTTTTTCTTCGAACGATTAGGAAAGGTTTACAGATCAGCGTTGTGATGCATTTTGCCTTGTCACACTGCTGTATACGATTGGTTGTGTGTGCTAAATTTGCACTTACGCTCGATTTTCTCGAACGCACTAATTTCTTTTCTTGCAGAAAAAAGACGGTTTGGCATGCTGGATGAGTGATTCTTAGGTTTGCTTAGATACATTTTTTGTAGAGTCAGTTCTCGACGAGAAACATTTCCTGTTCCAGGCTCATCGTAAGGTTGCCTTGGCCAAACCTTGTTCTTTCACACTGCTCCAGCAGAAGACGTAAAATCAATTTTTTGGCCTTAGTTTGGCAGCAGGCCGTAAATACACCTTTGGTACGTTCAGCATGTCGCAATTTTCACCCACTTTCATTCACTGTCAGGCCTCAAACTTGAGGTTTTTTCCTCATGAGGGCCAGTGTTTCGTGGTAATGGTGGCAAAAAGAGTAAAAAAGCCAATACGGGATGGACTTTAGTCTTCCGCATATTTTACCTCTGATGATTATCCGGTGAGTTTGTAACATTTTAGTTGTGCATGCGATATTTGTTTTTGTCGATAAATGCTTCTTGCTGCTGTTCGTATTTTATTGAACCAGCGGTCATTACTGGACCAGTTCTTTTTCAGATCGTGTGCATTAAGTTTGGTTTTTCATGTCTTTTTCACCTTTTATATGTATTAGGTTTGGCTGAAGACACACCGTCACTTCATGTCGTCGATAACTGCTGCAAAATCCTGTATGTGATGTGCCTGTATATGAAGTGATATTGATAGACAAATCCTTTTCGTAGTTTTTAACGGCCATGTGGGATCCGAGAGCCCGCAAACCTGTCCTTGCCCTCTACTACCTCAGCTAAAGCTCGCTTTTGTGCTTCAGAGCCGTTGGTTTTGGCGTCAGAATTCTGACGTGACTGAACGTAAGGGCTAAGCAGGCTGAATTTAAATTTGCGATCTAACTTATGGGCGGGAAATATTCTAAAATTTCAGCTGAGCGTCACAGTGGGGCTTAACGAGCGTGTTTTCGCAAGTTGTAAAAAGTTTCAGACATAACTTGTGTGATTGTATTCAAGGAACGGAGTTGTGCATCCTGCCTTTTTCGCTTGAAAGACGCTGAAATCGTTTAAAAAAGTGAGAACTTGAGTGGAATTGGATTTGAAATTTCTTTTTCATTATAACCGTTGGTTATGAATACAGAGAACAGTTACACGCCAGGGATTTTGCCTCCTTAATTTGCCTCTTCGGGTCTGATGGTTGGCTTGAAGTTGAACCGTAGTGCCTGGAGTCACAGCTGGGTAGAGTGCCGTCGCTGGCCTATCACAGATTGAAAATTTGGTTGTTTGCAGCCGATGGTTGGGTTAAAAGATGCACTGTACCTGTACACACCCGTGCACTACTCCGCGGAGTGCATGGGCTGCTTCTGCGCATAATTTCGGTGTATATATATTTCAGTGGCAACACCGGTGGCGGCAGCAATGAAGCCGGTGAAGATGATATTGGTGACTGGTGGGGTGATCAGTGGAGTGGGCAAGGGTGTCATCTCGTCCAGCTTGGGTGCGCTGCTCAAGGCTTATGGGTATCGCGTGTCGGTCATCAAGATTGACCCGTATATCAATATCGATGCGGGCACATTTTCACCATTCGAACATGGTACGTAAAAAATCTGAAATTTTCTTTTTTTTTTTTTTTTTTTTTTTTTTTTA